AATCACTAATATAAAAACCAGATCTCTAATGTGGTTATGTTACACACACACACACACACACACACACAGTGTTAAGCTTTGACTCATGATCTATAAAAACATCTGAACAGTTATTCCTCAACTACAAGACTTAATATGGTTGAACCAATGCCATAATAACCTCAACCAAAAAAAGTCCTGCAATTGTTTTTTTAAGTCATACACAGCCCTCCACACTAGAGGAAGCTCAGAACCTGCGACGCAGAGGGCTTCTCTGACGTACTTACTCAGCTGTTGGTGCAGAGGTTCCCATTTATGACCTACACAGTGACTTCCCTCTTCTCTGTGCTCCTGTCTCTCCTCTTACTTAATGGCCCTCTATTTACTTATGCCCATAAAATTTTGGAGAAAAAGGGCTGATTTTGTATTCAAACTTTGATACAATAGGACCATTCAAGTTTACTTATCTCTAGGTAACGCCCCATTCTTTAACAATAGAAATTGAAGCAGTTCTGATGTGTAAAGTTATTCTTCAACAAGGGCAAACTCAGTGACGAGGTAAAATGGTCCATTTTGGTGTGAGTTATCTACAAATAAGTTTCCTACATATGATTAGAGCTATAGTTCTAACTCAGCTCAGTAGATTAGTTAGACTATGAAAAAAACTCATTATTCATCTTTGATTTCTTTGATTTTTTTTCTTGCTAGTATATAAGTTCACAATATTTTTGTTATTTATTTTTCTTAGAGACAGGGTCTCACTATGTTGCCCAGGCTGGATTCGAACTCCTGAGCTCAAACGATCTTCCCGACTTACCCTCCCAAGCAGCTGGAACTACAGGCACACACCACCATGCCTGGTACATGTTCACAATATTTATTGAGAAAAAAATCAAATTTAATGTAGCTAAAAAAATAGTAAAACTCTGGCTGGCTTGTAGCCAAAGCTACAATTCTCGTCAATTATTTTACGTCCCTGGAAGCAGTATGGAATGCTGGACCATGTAGATCGGGAGGGGTGGGGGAAGGGGAAGATGATGGGAGGTGGCTTGATGAGTACGTGCGCATTGCTCCAGGAATGGATGTGCTGAAGGCCCTGACTTTATCACAATGCATTCTATCAATGCAGCAAAGTTGCACCTGTACCCCATGAATACACACAAAAAATTTAAAATTATTTTATGCCTCTCCAATTAAATATTTTGCATTAAAAGATGGCTATTTCAGCCTCTTTCCCTTCCCTAAAATTCACAGGCTACCTTTGTTTGTTTTCGCTCTGGCCACCTCCTCTCCACCTATGTTGGGCTAGTAATGGTCTCTGTGTGACTCAATGATGACTGGGCAATGTATGTAAACACAAAAGAACTGGTCAACATTCTTTTCCCAAAATATCATTGGTTCCTGTTTTCTTCTATCAATATTGTATTAAACAAGAGTACTTAAAAATATATAAAATATTAAAAGCATAATTCACTTTCCATTCTCTTGACCATGTACGATTAATTTTCAGACAGTGACAAAGTTCAAGAAAGAATTAAGTCAGAAAGAACATATATTTCTTTTTTTTTTTTTTTTTGAGCTGGAGTCTCACTCTGTCGCCCAGGCCGGAGTGCAGTAGCCGCTGCTCCCAGCCACCGCAGCTTCGACCTGCTGGGCTCTGGCGATCCTTCTGCCTCAGCCTTCCAAGGAGCTGGAACTACAGGCGCGCGCTACCACGTCTGGCTAATTTTTGGTTTATTGTAGAGATGAGGTTTCGCCAAGTTGCCCAGGCAGGTCTCGAACCCGTGGGCTCAGGCAATCCACTCACCTCAGCCTCCTAACGCGCAGGATTACAGGCTGAGCCACCGAGCCCGGCAGAACATATATTTCTATCTGACGAAAAGGAAGCTCTATCAAATCACATTACACATATCTCCGTAAGTTCAGCTCTACTCTGACATAACGTGAAGAAACGGTGGGTGACCCGTTCCTTTCCAACTATAGACAGACTTTAGTAGTATGAGCGCAATCACATTTACTAGAACGCATCATCATCCACGAGCTCTTGTCTGAGTCAAGAATTCTAGCCCTTCTCTCTCATCTACTTCAGTGTGAACTGTCTTATCTGTTTGGTTTTTGAGTTTTCCTTTCTCTTCTTAAAAGAGAATCATCTTATTTTTGAACCTATTTTAAACTGGGGCTAATAACAACCAACCACTTAAGTGCCAATTTATAATTCTGACTTAATTTTCACAACAGGGCAAGATGGGCAGTGATATTCTCTATGCAGAGATGATGAAATTGAGGCTAAAGAAATTAAGAAACTTGCCCAAGTGCAGCTGGGAAGAGACCCTCTGGGGAAATGTCAGAACCAGGAATCCAACCCACCTCCGTCCAACTCCAAATCCCATGCTCTTTCTACTCCACCATCCCTTCTCATAAGCCTTGTCTGTCTAGCTGACAGCTAATCGTCTTAGGCTTGGTAATTTTTCAAGAGGCACTAAAATTATTACACTACACCTTAGCTGCTGTGTTATAATTCAGTCTTTCCCAATGTTCCTTTATTGCTTATTTGATATTTCATCAAATTTTGAGAAGCTATAGTGTTCTTTGGTAAATCAAAAAAATTCTCAAAGTAACTTTCAAACTAGCTACTCATATCAGTTACAACTCAAGATACAAGTCTATCACACAGAATCCTTTATTTGCTTTTTTTTTTAGAGACAAGGTCTCACTCTGTCACCAAGGCTGGAGTGCAGTGGCACAATCCTAGCTCACTGTACCCTTGAACTGCTGGCCTCAAGTGATACTCCTGCCTCAACCTCCCAAGTAGCTGGTACATGCCACACACCTGACTAATTTTTTTTTTGTAGAGATAGGGTCTCACTAAGTAGCCCAGGCTGGTCTTGATCTCCTAGCCTCAAGCAATCCTCCTGCCTTGGTCTCTCAAACTCCTGGGATTACAAACATGAACTACTGTACCTGGCCTCGGAATCCTTGATTAATAAATTTAACTTTCTGGTCGGGTTTGGTGGCTTAGCCTGTAATTCCAGCACTTTGGGAGGTGGAGGTGAGTGGATTGCCTGAGCCTGTGGGTTGGAGACTCACCCGGGCAACTTGGCAATAAATCAGAAATTAGCCAGACATGGCAGCGCACACCTAAAGTAGTTCCAGCTATTTGGAAGGCTGAGGCGGAAGGATCGCTAGAGCCCAGCAGGTCGAGGCTGCAGTGGCCAGGAGCGTGCTACTGCACTCCAGCCTGGGAGACAAAGAGAGATTCCAACTCAAAAAAAAAGAAAAATTTATCTTTCTCCTAAACATAGTGGCAGCAATAATGATAACATCATATTCTGACATCATTATCTGAACATGAACGAGTCTCACATTTTCAACTGAACTATTGAAAAATGTCGAGTGATATTTAGCATTATCTATATACAGAGCTATCTGGCAGTATGTAGAGAGAGCTTGCCTGTCTAAGGAAGGTGTTAAATCCAGCCTACCTCCTTCAGCTAATTTTTGTGTGTGGGTACGACCCTTTTGATTCATTTAACAGATGGAGGTAATACCACTTTTTCTGGTAATAACCAATCTGAAAAGAGAGCTGATTAAATAATAAAATCTTCTGAAGGACAAAGGCAAAATTAACATAATGAAAAACAAGAAATACCACCTGCTGCTTTTGTAAATGGAGAAGATGTGAAGATAAACGTCAAGCATCTCAGGCAGGTCCCCCCAGCTCCTCTTACTCCTTCCAGCTCAATCTGAACCGTCAAGCAGTCTTGCAGGCGCTTTTACTCACCTCTGGAAGACACCCCTCCTGTCGTGCCTTTGGGGAGCAACGGAGGCAGGAGGCCTTGCCAGAGTGGGCAAGAGTTGAAGTGCCTGCCACTCGGCTGATAGCATGCAAAGGGTTAGGAGGAGACAGAGACTCTCGCACCGAGGCCCTCCCTGCCCCTCGGATGTGTCTCATCCTGTCCTCTCTGGCCCCTTCTGCTGCTGGACACAGTGAAGGCCTGTGGGCCCTCCTGTTTCCCAGTCCCTGACAAGCCTTAGGCCAGACCTTCTCTGAGCGCTAACGTGCTAATAGTAACATGATCATCTGAAACTCAAAGAGGAAATTCATCGTTCAGTCGCTTAAAGTCTCATTCCATTTGCCCCTCTTTATTTTTTTATTTTTTATTTTTTGAGTTGTTGTCTCACTCTGTGGCTCAGACTGGAGTGCAGTGGCCGCTCCCGGTCACTGCAGCCTCGCCTGCCGGGCTCCGGCGATCCTTCCGCCTCGGCCTTCCAAGTAGCTGGAACTACAGGTGCGCGCTACCATGCCCGGTTAATTTTTTTTTGATTTATTGTAGAGATGAGGTCTCACCAAGTTGCCCAGGCGGGTCTTGAACCTGCAGGCTCAGGCAATCCACTCACCTCAGCCTCCCAAAGGCACGGGATTACAGCCTGAGCCACCAAGCCCAGCTGCCCTCTTTTTAAAAGCATCATTAGCTCTGGTATTTTGCCTTAAAATGTTTCCTCTCATTAAACATGAGAAAATTTGGAGCAAAGAGGGCATTTAGGTTATCAAGAGTTTATTTAAATTTTCTAATGACTGCTTTCTAAACCCTGATATTTAAAACATCAATAGATTTGAACCTTGGTGAGAGTTAATAAGTTAACCAAAACCAAAACAGAACTTTAAAAAAACACTACTGACCTACTCTTCCACTACTTTCCAATTATAGAAGACCATCAGTTTTATTCTCTTGCTTTTGTAGATATTAAATAATGCAGCAAAAGCATTCTCCAAAGAAAACATTTCTAAAAATGTAAAGCAAGTATTCTACAAAAAAATGAAGTTAACCATGTCAGTTAACAACTATCCAAAAGACAGTTATTTACAGTAAAATATTAGAAGTCATAAATAAGCAGTCTGCAAGAAGAAGCTAAAAGAAAGAAAAAAGTTACAACTGTATTTCCAAAACTGTAATATTTGGCAGGTTAAGACATGAAAACAAACAACACTTTTAACAGACTCTGAAATACATACTACTTACATGACACCTTGCAGAACTCTCTGGGGATCAGGGTCAAATAGCCTGTCAACATAGTGGCGACTGCTAGCTGTTACTTCCTAGAAAGTGGGGGGAAAAATTATGACATCTGAAGCCATGCAAATCACAAATTCACAGCATCACTCACAATATCAAGTAGCTTCATAATCTAACTTAAGGCGGATGTATTGAAACTTCTATGAAATATTTATTTTTGCCTTATAGACTGGACTACTTAAGCAAGTGATTTTTCTCTCTCCAGTATCAAACTAATTGGAAACTGCAGTATTCAGTTCAAGTTGCTAAAGAGTAATCTTTTTCTAAGAATGTCATATTTCGAAAGTCCATGGAATATTACAATTTCACAAATGTCTTAAAACTGGCAGAGGAGCCGGGCACAGTGGCTCAACGCCTGTAATCCCAACACTTTGGGAAGTGGAAGTGAGAGGATTGCCTGAGTCCAGGGGTTCAAGACCAGCCTGGACAACTTGGCGAGACCTCGTCTCTACAATAAATCAAAAAATTAGGCGGGCATGGGGGTACGCGCCTGTGGTTCTGGTTGTTGGGAAAGCTGAGGCAGAAAGATCGCCTGAGCCCAGTAAGTCAAAGCTGAGGTGGCTGTGAGCATGCCACTGCACTCCAGCCTGGGCAACAGAATGAAACTCCTACTCAAAAAACAAGCAAACAAACTGGCAGAGGAGTTTGGAAAATCAACATAATTATAAAGCACATGATAACTTAGAATCATTGGGGACAATATGAAATACATTTCTGTAAATACTTTATTAAATCAGTCTGACAAAAGCTTGTAACAACAAGATAAACAGTAAGACAGAAGAAAGAAGACACCCAGTTCTCAGTAAAAACGTAACTGGGCAGTGGGACCTTTGCAGTGAGCCCTGCAAGTTTTGTCAACAGAAAACTGGGCATGGGTAGCAGGAAGCAAGCTAAGAGTCTTTATTCGCTGCTGGATGGCACGTTCATATAAATAAAATATAAGAAAGTTACTCATCTGTTTAGTACACCCTAAAGGAGAAAACGTGGCTCTCAGGCAAGGAAAAGGGTGAGAACTTCATGGAACATTCTACAAAGGGTAATCTAGATACAAGAGGAGACCCTTAGACTGATGCAGAGAAACTTCCTGATGAGGCAGAAATAACTGAGAAACAGAAGATGGAGTGAAGGAGTTGTCACGCCTCCTGAGAAGGAAAACAATTAAGCACTGGGGTGACTTGTAGGCCTAAGAGAGCTGCCGAGACCGGGTTGAAGACGGCTGGGTAGAGAAGAGCATCAGAGTGTGGCGAGCAGGGGGGGAAACTTACCTCCTGTTACCTGTGGGGTGAGCTTTGCTCTATGATGTTATTTCCAGTAATACTGATTTGGGGAGGGCACCACTTTTTGATGTTTAATTTTCAATACTTAGCATTATTTAAAACAAAGAAAATATGTTTAAGAACCAGAGAAAAGGAAGTTTTGCTCCCTGCTCTCTCTAATGCCTCTGGAATATCCTTAAATGCCGTCACACTCTAAAATTATTATAGGGAGGAAGAAATAGCTTTTCTAGTTTATTCAGAGCCCCAAATGAGGAAAGAGCTAATTGCCAAGCTACAGTGCCAGCTTAAACTTCAGAGTCACCAAAAATAGCTGGAAAACTACACACACTCTGTTCTTCTGATAATATACGTAGACAACTAAAATCAAGCATATTTTTCTATTCTGAACTTGCACCAAAATATTCTCATAGGCAACTCAAATACTTGCTTTTTTTTTTTTTTTTTAAAGAGATAGGGTCTCGCCCAGGCTGATCCTGAACTCCTGGGCTCATGGGATTCTCCCACCTCAATCTTTAGAATACTGGAACTACAGGAAGGCACTACTGTGGCTGTCTCAAATACCTGTTTTCAGTGTGAATTCCACTGACAAGGAACAAGCAGTGGGAGTCAACAAGAAAAAGTAATGAGAAGTCTTGAGCCAACCAGGGAGGGGAAAGCCAAAACACCTGCTAACAGAGTCTATTTTCCTCAAAATAACAGAATCACAGAGTTAGAAGGACTCTCAACCATCAACCCAATTCCTTGGTTTACAAATGGAGCATCTCATGGTCTTTACCCATTTGTCAGATCCTTACATGTTAAGCAAGGACACACATAACTGCACGAATCTATCAAGAAACAACACACCAAGAGCAAGAGCTAGAGAAGAACTGAAAAAGCATTCCTGTAATACACAGGTAAGTTTTGTCACTCCACTGGAGAACATATGTTTTCCTGGCTTTCTTTCTTTCTTTTCTTTTTTTGTTTTTTTGAGATGGAGTCCTACTCTGTCGCCCAGGCTAGAGTACAGTGGCACACTCACCGCTACCGCAGCCTCAGCCTGCTGGGCTCAGGTGATCCTTCACCTCAGCCTTCCAAGTAGCTGGAACTATAGGTGCACACCACCACGCTCAGCTCATTTTTTTACTGTAGCAACGAGTTGCCCAGGTTGGTCTCGAACCTCTGGACTCAGGCAATTCTCCCACCTCCACCTCCCAAAGTGCTGGGATTACAGGTGTGAGCCCCCAAGCCTGGTCTACGTCTTCCTAGCTTTCTAGCACAGCAAGTTCTTCTGAGCACCTTAGACCTGTAGCCTCCCTCCAACCCAGGGACTCATCTTTGACTGTACTGTTCTCCTCCACCTTTACTCCCCACAGCTTTTTTTTTTTTTTTGAGTTGGAGTCTCACTCTATTGCCCAGGCTGGAGTACAGTGGCATGCTCACAGTCACTGCAGCCTCGACCTGCTGGACTCTGGTGGTCCTTCCACCTCAGCCTTCCAAATAGCTGGAACCATAGGCACATGCCACCATGTCCAGCTAATTTTTCTGATTTATTGTAGAGACGAGGTCTCGCCAAGTTGCCCAGGCTGGTCTTGAACTCCTGGATTCAGGCAATCCCTCGCCTCCATCTCCCAAAGTGCTGGGATTCCAGGCGTGAGTCACCACACCTGGCTTACTTCCCACATCTATATATCTCTTGCCTCTCAATGTGTTTTGGTTTTTTATGTTTTTTTTTTAAAAAAGGTGGTTGAGTTTCAGATGTGTCTCATAAACAACAGAAATTTCCCCCATTTAAAGCAACACTCTTGGCTGCTATGTGCCTGTTTCACTCAATACAACACGCAACAAGCACCTATAGGAAGGCACTAAGTAAAACATTAAAAATAAATTTACTTTTCTAAGGAAAAAGTTAGTAAGGCGCAGTCCCTGTCCTCAACAATTCCTATTCTCTTGCAATTGTGTTTACATTAGCATGTTCCCTACTAGAATACAAGAATGAAGTATGGCATGCACAACATAAGTAAGGAGTTAATAAGCTGGGAGAATCAGGGAACTTGGTTTTGTAAAGAAAGTAAGAGTGTGCAGAATGAACAAGAAAAGACGGACTCAGTGTCACCATCGCAGCCACAGGGCATGTGAAGCTAACAGAAATAAACCATCAGCAAGCATGACAGGTGCTGCCACTGAAAAAGAGGGTAGAGAGGCGACCACAGAGTGTGAAACACAAAAGGCTAACCAACAGACGGCCCATGACTGGAGACTGCAGACTGCCTTTTGCTCAAAATTCCACGCTAGATGCCAAAGAAGGTGTATGAGAACCTGAAGGCAGAGCCCTGTCCTTTAAGGAGCTTACAATCTGCAATGGGTAATCATCTACACAAAAGCGATCATCTAAACAGCCTTGGCAGCAAGTAAGCGGAAGGGATAAAGTCACTTATTCAGCCACACTTTACACTTTTGCCTAACATATCCATTCATCTGTCTGGATGGGACATTTCTGGCATTTCACTGTTTTCCCTTGTGGGAGGGAGACCCCAAAAAATCAGAATCACCCTTTGGCGGGCGGGTCCCTTGTAGGCTTCTCCCGTTAGGTAAGTGTCCTAGGCAGCCATCGGCATGGGTGAACCAGCTAGCGTCATTATGAGAGGCTGCGTTCAGTTCGAGTGAAGTTTTTTGGAAATTCTTTCAATGTGTTTGCCCCCTCACCTTTTTTTTTGGAGTTGAAGTTGGAGTCTCCCCCTGACGCCCAGGCTGGAGTACAGTGGCACGGTCATGGCCACCACAGCCTCAACCTGCTGGGCTCAGGCGATCCTTCTACCTCAGTCTTCCAATAGTTGAAACTACACACGAGGGTCACCATGCCCGATTGTTTGCCCCTTTCATAATGAGTGATTTATGAGTACACCTGCCCACACTGCACACTGTTCAGCAGTTTATGATTAAACCCACCCTCCCTATTCACCCAATCTCGCCCCAAGCATCTTTTTGTTGTTGTTTCCCAGTAAAAAAAAAAAAGTCCTCAAAGGAAAACGTTTTGCTGATGTGGAAGAGGTAAAACAAAAAACAGCAGGAGCACTAAAAGGCATCAAAATTGATGAGTTCAAAAACTGTTTTGAGAAGTGAAGAAGGCATCTCCACTTAGGATGCAATAGGTGTACTGCATCAAACAGAGAGTTCCTGAAGGTGACTGAAGTTTAAACACGTAAGAATAATTACACAATTTTTAATAAATAAATTCTGGAGTTTTCTCGGTTCCCCCTCGTAGATCAGGTCACCTCTCCCCTCTCAGACCTCTTCTTGCCTTTTAGAAGTCAGTCTAAGTCGGGCTTGGTGGCTCAGCCTGTAATCCCGCGCCTTTGGGAGGCTGAGGTGAGTGGATTGCCTGAGCCCATGGTTCGAGACCCACCTGAGCAACTTGGCAAGACCTCATCTCTACAATAAATCAAAAATTAGCCGGGAGTGGTAGCGCGTGCCTATAGTTCCAGCTACTTGGAAGGCTAAGGCGGAAGGATCGCTGGAGCCCAGCAAGTCAAGGCTGCGGTGACCGGGAGCGGCCACTGCACTCCAGTCTGGGCGACAGAGTGAGACTCCAACTCGAAAAAAAAAAAAAACAAAAAGGAA